ATTGGAAACTGCGTGGGCGGCCTGTATGAACCAATGGAGGGCGAAGTTATCACTTCCTGCATCCTAGTTTCTCCTTAGCAACGGGAGAGGTCCACTTTTCTCTGTTCATAACTTAGTCCCAGTAGTTGCAAAAAATCAACAAAAATATGCATAAAATACCTTATAACTTCTATATTTATCAATCCAAATTTCATACAGTTACTCAAAAGTAACAAACTGTTTCATTTATTACTAACAGCGGGTGTCAAGCGGGACCTCTTTTCTGATGTTCTGTACCTTTTACTAAAATGTCTCTTGTTTTACAACAAAGTAGCAAGCATAGAACAATCAAGCGCTTTGAGTTGCGTGTAACTAGGGTATTCTCAGACTTGTAGTTCATACATCTTCTCCAGAAACTCAAATTTGTGTTGTAAAAGTGACAAAGTTTCTGTACCTTTTTCTCCGAAACAGTAAATATTTAAGCTAGGAAAGAAACACATGCAACAGGTAGCATATTGCTTTAGTGAACTGGCTAGTAATGATATTGATATGTTCTTTTGAAATCCTATAAACCTGTCATTCTCTGGCGAAATTTGGCTCTTCTCCTTTGACTTTTGCATTGTAATTATTGAATGTGGAAAATTAGAATCTATACGGTGATAACTACCGCCTACGCAGTTACCAATCCCTTTATACTCTAATATCTATGATACCGTATAGCTCCAAATTTTCGTCAGTCAAAAATTTCGTTAAAATCTTCATTTCTTGTTAAAATTAATTTTTGTCAATAAAAATTTTCGTCATTTTTGCTATTAATCCGCATACTACCCACGTGGAACAAAAATTTTGTCGGTTAAAAATTTCGTCAAGCAAAAGTACCTGACGAATTTGACAAAAATTTTGACCGACGAAAATTTGGAGCTATATGGTATGCGCAGGAAACTATGAATTTAATTGGAATGACCTGTGTCATATTCTTGTTTCTCTATTCTCATTAAATTTCCCAACCATATACTATGATACCAGAAGAAGTTTCAGCTATTTAAATATTTTATATTCCTTGGCTACAACCACACCTAGTTGACAGCAAAGAATCATAGGCAACATTATGGAGAACTAAAATTCCTTAGCAACATCATTTATAATTTTGTGAGCCTTATTATACATCATGATAAGGCTCACATGATGTTAATTATTAAGTGATTTCTTAATACCATATAGAACAAATTGATATATACTTAGCAATAAAATTACAATCAAACTGAATTGATCTACATAGACAATATGCAGTCAACTAGATTAATCATTATTTTCCCCATTTTATGATTTTTGATATGCAATTTAAGCCGGCAAATGAGCTTTCATTATTTTCTTTTTATTTTCTATCACAGGTTTATAATATTCTCATATGACGGCAGTAAGTCACGTCACATGTGAATGTGTAATATTATTCTTTTCTTCTATGATACCATTGTGATACTTTACTAAACTGTGTTATTCATAATCTTTCAGAGAGTAAGTCACATCACATGTGAATGTGTAATTTTATTCTTTTCATACATGTACCATTGTAATACTTTACTAAACTGTGTTATTCACAATCTTTCAGAGTGTAAGTCACACCACATGTGAGTGTGTAATTTTATTCTTTCCTTCTATGATACCATTGTGATACTTTACTAAACTACGTTATTCACAATTTTTCAGTTCGTAAGTCATGTCACATGTAAATGTGTAATTTTATTCTTTTCTTTTATGATACCATTGTGGTATGTTACTAAACTGTCAACATTTCAGAGTGTAAGTCACGTCACTTATGAATGTGTAATTTTATTCTTTTCTTCTATGATATACCATTGTGATAATTTACTAAAATATTCACAATTTTTCAGCTTGTAAGTCACATGATATGTGAATGTGTAATTTTATTCTTTTCTTATAATGATACCATTGTGATACTTTACTAAACTGTGTTATTCAAAATCTTTCAGCCAGTAAGTCACGTCACATTTGAATGTGTAATTATTCTTTTCTTTATGATATCATTGTGATTCTTTACTAAACTGCATTATTCAAAATCTTTTAGCCAGTAAGTCGCATCACATGTGAATGTATAATTTTACTCTTTTCTTCTGTGATACCATTGTGATAATTTACTAAAATATTCACAATTTTTCAGCTTGTAAGTCACATGATATGTGAATGTGTAATTTTATTCTTTCTTATGATGATACCATTGTGATTCTTTACTAAACTGCGTTATTCATAATCTTTCAGAATGTAAGTCACATCACATGTGAATGTATATTTCTATTTTTCTTATATGGTACCATTGTGATACTTTACTAATCTGCGTTATTCACAATTTTTCAGTTCGTAAGTCATGTCACATGTGAATATGTAATTTTATTCTTTTCTTCTATGATACCATTGTAATATGTTGCTAAACTGTCAACCTTTCAGAGTGTAAGTCACGTCACTTATGAATGTGTAATTTTATTTTTTTCTTCTATGATACCATTGTGATAATTGATAATTTACTAAAATATTCACAATTTTTCAGCTTGTAAGTCACATGATATGTGAATGTGTATTTTTATTATTTTCTTCTATGATACCATTGCTAAACTGTATTATTCACAATCTTTCAGGCAGTAAGTCATGTCACATGTGAATGTGTAATTTTATTCATTTTCTTCTATGATACCATTGTGATACTTTACTAAACTGTGTTATTTACAATCTTTTAGGAGGTAAGTCACATCACATGGGAATGTGTAATTTTATTCTTTTCTTCTATGATACCATTGTGATACTTTACTAAACTGTGTTATTCACAATCTTTCAGCTAGTAAGTCACGTCACATGTGAATGTGTAGTTTTATTCTTTTCTTCTATGATACCATTGTGATACTTTACTAAACTGTGTTATTCACAATCTTTCAGTCAGTAAGTCACGTCACATGTGAATGTGTAATTCTATTCTTTTCTTCTATGATACCATGATTGTGATACTTTACTAAACTGTGTTATTCACAATCTTTCAGTCAGTAAGTCACGTCACATGTGAATGTGTAATTTTATTCTTTTTTCTATGATACCATTGTAATACTTTACTAAACTGTGTTATTCACAATCTTTTAGAGAGTAAGTCATGTCACATTCATGTGAATGTGAATTTTATTCTTTTCTTCTATGACACCATTGTAATACTTTACCAAACAGAGAGTAAGTCACATCACATGTGAATGTGTAATTTTATTTTTTTCTTTTACATGCACGTGTATAACACCATCGTGATACTTTACTAAACTGTTATTCTCCTTCAGAGAGTAAGTTACAGTACCTGTAAACATGTAATGTTATTCTTTTCTTCTATGATACCATTGTGGTACTTTACTATAAACTTGTTATTCACAATCTTTTAGCAAGTAAGTCACATCACATGCATATGTGTAATTTTAGTCTTTTCTTCTATGATACCATTGTGGTACTTTACTATAAACTTGTTATTCACAATCTTTTAGCAAGTAAGTCATATCACATGCGAATGTGTAATTTTAGTCTTTTCTTCTATGATACCATTGTGATACTTTACTAAACTATGTTATTCACAATTTTTCAGAGTGTAAGTCACATCAAATGTGAATGTGTAATTTTAGTCTTTTCCTCTATACTATATTGTGGTACTTTCCTATAAACTTGTTATTCACAATCTTTAGCAAGTAAGTCACATCACATGCGAATGTGTAATTTTAGTCTTTTATTTTATGATACTGTTGCGATACTGTATTAAACTGTTGTTATATTCACAACCCTTCAGCCAGTAAGTCATGTCACATAAGAATGTGTAATTTTATTCTTTTCTTCTATGATACCATTGTGATATTTTAATAAACTTTTTGTTCACAATCTGTCAGCTAGTAAGTCACATCGAATGTGAATGTGTAATTTTATTCCTTTCTTCTATTATACCATTGTGATACTTTACTAAACTGTGTTATTCACAATCTTTCAGAGAGTAAGTTACATCACATGTGAATGTGTAATTTTAGTCTTTTCCTCTATACTATATTGTGGTACTTTCCTATAAACTTGTTATTCACAATCTTTTAGCAAGTAAGTCACATCACATGTGAATGTGTAATTTTAATCTTTTCTTTTATGATGCCATTGTGACACTTTACTAAACTATGTTATTCACAATCTTTTAGAGAGTAAGTCACATCAAATGTGAATGAGTATTTTAATTTTTTTCATCTATGACACCATTGTGACACTTTACTCATTTGTGTTATTTAAATTTTCCAGGACGTAAGTTGATCAGGTCAAATGTGAAATTTAATTTTATAAGAAATATTTTCTGGAATTACTATTAATAGGATTTAAGTAAGTCAAATGCCACAGCCATGCACCTGTAACCTATAATGCACATCCTATATGCATTGCATACACCATTTACTAACTGCTTTTACTTAATATGCCGAATTCCTGATGTTGATACATACCTAAAACGTTATAATTAATTTGTAATAGTTGATACATGGGGTGGCATGTGCTATCAGCACGAGCTTGAGGTCAATTAAGTTGCTAAAAATATTGCATGAGGGCCAAACCCCATGTGTTAACTGTTTTATTGATGTCTGACTAAGAAATTCTCAGAAAGATATGGGAAACGCTGACCTGATGGTGCTGAGTACTAATTGATTACTAAATAATGATAAATAAAAGACATTGAAAATGGAAAAGTAGTAGGATTGAATTGAAAAAAAAGTAAAGAAACAAGATAGGTACTTGCAAACGGGTGTGGTAAGAAGTCCTACACCACTGCATGAAGAATATTACCCAAAAGCATTGTAATTATCTATACAGACTACTACATGATAACTATGAAGCCATGTCTTTCATGCAATTAGGATTTCTTACCACACCAGTTTGCAAGTACCTACATGTATCTTGTTTCTTTACTTTTTTCCAATTCAATTCTACTACTTTTTTTATTTTTAATGTTTTTATTTACTTGTTTTCATTCTTTTTTCATTCTGTGGTTATTTTAAAGTGTACCTTATAGCATAGATAATAGAGTAAATGAAAGGGATTAGCAACGGGCGTAGCAACAGGAAATGTGGGTTGGGTTACCACGTGACAACCATCAATGTTTTGATTGATTTCCCATCTCCTCCATTGGTGAAGTTGCTCTGGCAGGATTTCGAAGGAAATTTGTGCTGCTCCAGGATAGCGCTTGCTTTTGGTATATAGCCTATTCCACATAGAATTTTTAGAGCTACCTGTAGCAAGGTTTTTATCTCCAAAAAGCCATTTTGCAACCAGTTAGAGGTACACAAAGTCGCCTGTTTTTGAAACACTTTATCGTTCATAAAACACTCAAGCTTCATTGTATCAATATGCAAGTTAGCTCATTCCATAGGAGATTTTAAGCTCTTTAAAATGGTTATACTTATTCGTAGCTCAAGAACAAAATGAGTCTCTCAGAGGGGGAAAAGATGGTTTTTCTAGTTAAAGAGTGACGCGGCTACTAACGCATGCATTGATTTACTGAACAAAAAATATTAATAAAAAGCATAAACATTGGTTAGTACTGTGTGTGAGTTTTGTTTGCATGAATTGTATTCTCTTGGAGTTATTCAAGAATAAAGCAAGAAAATCCCGGTTTTTTACTCCAAAATCGGTCAAAAAATCCCAACCCTCTTAGCAACAATACAAATGAATGGAGGTTTGCCCACGCCCACGCTTCCGTTGCCAATCCCTTTCATTTACTCTATTATCTATGGACTAATGAAAGGGATAGGAAACCACCGTAAAATTTATGGGCATGTCATGCGTTGCCTAGCGACGTATGCAAGTTGTCGTTTGACGTTTTTCTTACCGGGAAACTAAGAAAATGGAGGACCATCACTGGAGCTCTCGGCTTATAATTCGTGTCTGATACGGAGTACAGCCACAGTTCTAGGTCAGCTGCAAAGATCAAGATCATATCTATCCATTGATACCTGGTTCAGAAGGACTGCACTAATGGCCCGAATGAAATCCTATCTTAAACTCCCACTGTCAAGTTGTCCAAACTGCCGATTTTGTTTTGTACCCTTTTCTAAAAGTCAATTTTATGAACCATCTATTGGTGTTCAAAAGACATTAACCAATGTTATAACTGAGGTCTTGAGACATCTTCTAATAGGAAATATTGTATGGTTGTGATTTCTAAGCAAAAAGTAGACCCAAATTTTGCTTTTGTTTTGTACCCTTAACTCGCCAGTAACAATATGCTTATATGCTTATAGCGGGTTTAACTCAAGGATAATAATTTTCACAAATGGCCTGTATCCGGAGGTTCACAGAATTAATTTTTGCAAATTGCCACTTTTCTGCCATTTTATATCATATTAAATTAATTTTCAAGGAATTTAATTTTGCAAATCTTCAAAAATCTGTGAAATTTGTTATCCTCAAAATAAACCTGCTATACAGTAACTGCAGTGATTTTTTAGAGTATTTATTTTATGGTCTTATCATGATTGCCCGACCATACTAATGATGTGTATAGTCGGTTTCAGTTGAGTTTGACAGGTGAAACATTCTTTTAACTTTTTTGTTATTAATGCTAGCAACTTAAAAACTTGGCATGGTTGCATAACGGGTTCTTCCGCATATCTGGATTGATTTTGGAGTCTCTGGGTACTCTGGAAGGTTCTCAACGAGTTCTTCCAGTCTTCATTAAAGAAGCCGCCATGATGTTGCATTGCGTGTTATGCTCGTGAATATAATTTGCATCTCATTACATTTGTTAACAATCATGTTTTATTTGTTTAAAAATAATAGAAAGCAAAAGGAACACCCCAGACTAAGGGATTATTCACTAGAAGGTCTTGCACTTCAGAAAGAAGCCTCAGCTTGTCTGCTTTACCTCTCCAATCCTTCATAACTGCTGTCACTTTTTACCGCTCCGAAAATCCCTTGTAATCTTGCATTTCTTGCCTCTTTTTGAAGTGATAACAAGGACAAAGATCCTGCAGGTAATATGTAGAGGAAATATTGCCCAAAACAAGAGACTCAAGGAGTTAGAGGAAGAAAAAGAGAGCACATTGTAGTTTCAGCCATTTTATTTACTTGTGTGGGCAGGGCTACATGTGACGTTTTGATGATGAAAACTTCCTGTAAAACTCAACTGAAACCGACTATATTCAGTTTTACTGTCCAAAAAAAATTATTCACTGAGATATGAGCTCTCAAAGATGCTTATTTTTGCTTCCTGCCATGCTACTTCCTGTTGGTGGGTGTGGCTCAAACATGACATCACAAGAGACATAGATGTAAATACCGTAGGGCGCCTTTTTTTCGAGGGCTATAAATTTCGCGGATTTCGCGATTTTTTTAAAGATTCGCGAAAATTACTTTCGCGAAAATCAAATCAATACGGTACAAGATGGCAGACGGCATAAATTCG